AGGACGCTCATATCTTCTGGATATTTATATAAACAGTGTGGTCCGTACAATTCTTCGCCTTGTTCCAGGCGATCGGCACGCTGTAAAAAATGCAATAAAAAACTGTGTTAGTGAAAATTTGAGATTTTCGTATCTGTGGAGATCCTCAAATCTGACAGTCAAGATTTGGCGTACTCGTCTTTATTTTGAACCCTCAAGAAACTTATCAACAGTTTACAGCTCAGGGATGAAACACGTCGTATCTGTGGAGATCCTCGAGTCCAACTGTCGTAATTAGGCGCACTCATCTTTGTTTTGCGCATTTAAGAAACTTATAATAACAGGAGATTTGTTTACAGCTTAGGGATGAAACACAGACAGATTACCCTACATACACATGACCACTTCAAATGTCAAAAGGTTTTTACCACACTGTCTTTCCCCCTACCATTCAGTAATATTCCATTCTTTCCGCCTTAAATCACAAGGTATTCAGCCATGCTGGATTTCCCTCGATCAGGATGATTCACTACTTCACAAGATAAGCCGATTGCAGCATCCATGTTGATGGGTACGAAATTAAGGAAGGTGTATAAGCCGAGGAAAAAATAGTAGGAAAATTAAGTCATATACATCTTAGCTCAACACCACGATTAGACGTCGTCAGTATGACGGACTTGGCAAATTTACGCCCGCAAAACACCACCTCACAGTTTCGACCTTCTTGTCAACCCTGCTCGGCATGACCAATTTTGGCTGGGCTTTTATTGCCCTTCCGTTTTATTATTCCCTTTTCCATGTAGCCCATTTTCAAAATTTTGGCAATTTTCCAAAAAAAAGAATTTTGCTCATAAAGCAAAAAACAAAGACTTACTTCATCATATAAATTCTCGTATTGGCTGATGATATTTCTGGGTCGAAGTTCTTTGAAATCACGATGCTTAAAAATGGGCGCCTGATGATCGAGACTTTTTGCATATTGCTTTTCGGTTTCACTGCGCCACAACTCGTTACTCGTTTGCTGCACTTCACGCCATTCCAAGTCCTTCTTTTGCAATCGTTCAATCAGCCGCGGTATCATAACTCTCGGATTATTCATTGCATTTTCCAAAATTTTTTGCGCAAAATCTCTGAAAAAAAAATTTTAAAATTTGGCCAAAAAAATAAATTTAGAAAAAAAAA